ATGATGGGTGAAGGGTGGATGTTGATGGATGATGATGGATTAATACAGTAATTGAGGAGAGACCGGGCCAATGAATTGACGCAGTGAAGGTGATATTGATACCGGGGTTTATTGATTCCGTCTTTGAAAAAGGGTTGCAGTTTTTTTTATCGGCCACTGTCGGTGACGATTGCTATGGCCACGATGATGGCGATGATGGCGATGAGGGCGATGATGCCGATGAGGGGGATGAGGGGGATGATTACTACGACGGCGATGAGGGCGATGGTGGATTACAGTCTCAGCAGATTGGATTAAGCTACCGTCTTCACCCGAATACAACGCACGGTCATTAGTTTTAGCTGTATAGCGACCCCAATACATTTCTAATGATCGTGCGTTCTATTCGGGGGAAGAAGACGGTCGCCGATGTTTATCCCCACCGCCAAGCGGGGCATTCTTTTTCATCCTCCTAGAATTTGTGCAATCAGACTCGTCTCATTCACACTTTTCATGCATGTAAACAGCAGCGCAGCAAACTGGTGACATGCGCCCACTCAATGCTCAGAGATATGGCATCCAGATAAGAGTTCACTTTCAACTGGGTATGGCGACTCAGCGCCCAAACAACTCACTGTTCACACGCACCGGATCACCCTGGATATCCCACACGCGTAACTCTGAACACTCACACATACACACACTTCACACTAACTACAGCTATGGCAGCTATGGCTGCCTCTACCCAATCGCTATGCTAAGCTCCTCCTCTCTCGCCCACTGCGTCCTCCGGGCTCACTGCAGACCTTGCACAAGTCGCTGTGGCAGCTTCCGCATGGCTCACGCAGGAATCAATGAAAGGCTGGGCACTGCCTCTTGATTTATACTTCGGAAACTGGTTGGTCTGCCCTTTGCCATCGGCCCATGGTGCTCAGAGTCCCCCGTGGTACTTGCTGAACCGGACTGGGACTGACTGGACCTTACCGCTGACTGACTGTGGACTCACTGCTATCCTACCGTCGTCGTACTGCAATTGCACTGCAGTTTAGGCCACCCCTTGGCTTGCCACTTGCCCACTTGCCGACCTTCTAGAAGGGCTACAGCTAGGCTTCTGGAACTTGCTAAGACTTCTACTCTATCGACCTACAGATCGAACCCCTGCTACCTATGGACCTATGACAGACCTACCAACTGTCTACGAATACACAGGTCACAGGTTCAACTCTCGGGCTCTACACAGATACTGTACATGGGTAGGGTGAGGTCTAGGGATCGAACCCTGGGGTCTGCATCTGTTGCTGCAAAAAGGTGAAAACCGTTTCATTTGGGAGGATCCACATGAAAACCACCATCACCGTCGTATGTAGAAGTCAGCGTGCCTTAGGCTTTGGGCAAGCCCTAGTCGCCTTTTTTTTTTTTTTTTTTTTTGCTGCCGATTTGTTTGTAATGTATGCCGCTCCGGCGAGAGGCTCTTGTGGCTGGGCTGTGGTATCTCAATTGGTTTGCTGCTGCCTTAACTGTTATAAGGGCGTGCACGTTATTATCGATCGATTGAAGTCCATTGCTTTGTGATTGGGCTACTACCTTCTTCCCCCTGCATAGAGCGTACGGTCATTATTGCTGTATTTAGACGGAAAGATACCCAAAATACAGCTACAATGACCGTGTATCCGGTGAAGAAGGCAGGCTGTTTGTGTGATGCGTTTTCTATAACAGCCACATTATGTCAATCGGTTTGCTGCTGTCTCAACTGTTAGAGGGGGCGCATTATTATCGACTGAAGTCAATGGCTTCGTGATTGGGCTAGGCCGTTTGTACAAATGTTTAGAGTTTTTGATAACAAATCTTGACGTAACACATCTGGCTTTTTCTTATGTAGATTGGGTTAGGTGGCATTTGAGACGCGGTCTTTTCTTTTCCTTTTTGTAGATTCGTGTGTCACACAACCTAAAATTGTGGTATCACTAGGCAAACCATTATTGAATCAGTTCGATTGAAACAATAGCGATTTCATCAAATTGTAAATTCAAGTTTAATGAAAATGGAACTATTGGAAAAAATGGGAAAAAGTTGCCGCCTTTAATCTTCTTCTCTAATCTAATTAAAAGTAGAACATCAATACAAAAAGATAAATATCAATGGATTATTCAATTGATTTTCAATTCATATTTAATTTTTATTTCCATTTATCCATTGATTTTTTGAGGTATATAAAATTTTAAATCGTCTAATATAATATAATATTCCCTCAAATTAGAATCATGAATTTGAATTTTGAATCACTTAATATTTAATTTTTATTTTAATTTTTATTTCCATTTATCCATTGATTTTTTGAGGTATATAAAATTTTAAATCGTTTAATATAATATAATATTCTCTCAAATTAGAATCATGAATGAATTTGAATTTTGAATCACTTAATCGTTCACAAGGACGGGGCCGCAATCTATTTCCAAGTTTAAAGGCTGGTAATGCAGATTCTAGGCTCGGGAAAATTGCAAGTTCGTTCGATTTACCTTTTTTTTTTTTTTTTTTTTTTTTTTTAGCTTTTTCGGATTGACTAGTGGTTTAATGAAATGGAATGATTATGAAGGGAAAAAAAAAGGTGGGTCCTGTTAAATTGAACTCCGTCGCTAAGAAAACAACGCTACCTGATTGAGTGGCAAATTGAATGGGCGACAAATTGAATGATTGGTAACTTGATTGTGTGACAAATTGAAGGGGTGACAAATTGAATGAAATAAAATGGGGGTTAAAAATGTTAATCTGGTAGCGGGAAAAAAAAAAAGTTAGTGGTGAGGTCTGATTGCAAGAGGATGAATGGATCACTGCGGTGATTGATTGGTATTGACTACTAAAATTAATTGCCCGATGATTGGCCTTTGGCTGATTGGGTCGGATTAGGTTGACGATTGATTGGTGTTGATTAGATCCGTTGATCGTTGAATTGCGTGATTTCATGCTCTGAGCAATTGAATTGATGTTGATCAATTTTGAATCTCGCTGTTCGCTGATCTGAACTTCTGAAGCGATTTGATTGATTTGACTTGATTGATTTGATTTGATTTGATTTGACTTGATTGATTTGATTCGATTTTGATTTGATTCGTCGATTTTTCTCCCTCCCTTCCCCCCCCCCCCCTTTCCTAGTCGAGGTCGAGTTGGCCAGTTGCTTTGGGGGTCGTATGTGCAGAATTCGTTTTTTTGGGGAGGGGAGGGGGAGGGTGCGCGTGTTAGGGGATCAAATTTACGGAGGACCTTTATGGCTACCATCTTTATTTTGAAATGCATTTTTCGTTTTTTTTGGAGTTTTTTTGAAGTTGATGAGGTCGAGGATTAATTCCTTTTTTTCTTTGCCATCTGCTTTTTCGAAATAAAAGTCTGATTTATGCAGAAAAAATCCTTGAGTTGGGCCTTGGGGGAAGGGTGCCGAAGTAGGAATTTGCGTGTGTGTGCATCAGAAGTGGATCACGTACACTTGATAGGATATGTAGGGTTTGGCACTTGAAATGCTTTTTTGGGGGGCGAGGGGGTGAAGGGGGGGGGGGGGGGGGGAACAGCAGCGCAATAAGCAGAATTAAACAACCGTATAATAAGCAGAACAAAAATAGAAAAAGACGAGTGATGGCATAGTTGTGGCAGTGAAATTAATGACTCGTGCATTTCGTTCACCGCATTTTATAGTCACGTCGACTCAGATTGATTATTGTTGTTATTTAAACTTATTATTATTATTCCTTAAAATAGAAGGAATAAAATCTGAGAGCAGAGTATGGGGTGGATTGTGATTTTTACCGTGGCACTGGTTCAAAGATCGTACTTTCCTTTTTTTTAAGGTAGAAAAATCCTGAAAAGTAATCAAATTTAAAATGGCAGGACTCTTCGATAGAGGTCTCACCGGATATATTGCACAGTGATTTAGGGAGGGGAAGGGTTACCCACCCGAACGTCCGGGGGTCTCAACCCCCC